CTACTTCTTCTTCTTCTTCTTCTTCTTCTTCTTCTTTCTCTCCTTCTTCTTCTTCTTCTTCTTCTTCTTCTTCTTCATCTTCTTCTTCTACTTCTCTCTTCTTCTTCTTTCTTTCTATCTTTCTTTCTTTCTTTCTTTCTTTCTCTCTTTCTTTCTTTCTTTCTTTCTTTCTTTCTCTCTTTGTTTCTCTGTTTCCCCCAAACTCCCCAACGATTTAAAAGGTTTTTTGGAAAAAAATAAAAAAGGAAGAAAGAAAGAAAGAAAGAAAGGAAGAAAGAAAGAAATAATGTAAAAGAAAAAAACAAGAGACATAAAGAAAGAAAAGAAGGATGAAAGAAAGAAAGAATGAGGGAAGGAAGGAAAGAAAGAGAGAAATAAAGATAGGGATAGAGAAGGAAGGAGGGTGTGTGTTTGTAATTTTTTTTTTTTTTTCCCTTTACAGCGTTGTCATTTCTTTCATTTTTTTTTCTAGCAATGAGATAGATAGATAGATAGATAGATAGATAGATAGATAGATAGATAGATAGATAGAGAGAGAGAGAGAGAGAGAGAAGGAGAGAGAGAGAGAGAGGTTGACTACTGCGGGCCATCGGCACACGCATCGATGTGCATTTGTTTATTTCTGGCCCGCTGTAGCCAACTTCGGTCAACATCAGAATGGGTGACCGTGCGTGAGTTTCTTTGTTCGTGGCTTCCGGGTCTATCTCTACGTCCGGAATAGGGCTGTCTCTCTGTGTCCCTGTCGCGTCCGATTTATATGTGTTTATTTGCATGCGTTCTGGCGTTGATGTCTTGCTTAATTCCTGGTTCTGACGCTTGCGTTTTGAAAAAAGGGTCCGCCATGTTGAGTTGTACGTACTATTGTTGGCGCCATTGTACGGAAGCAGTGAGGCTCTCTCTCTCTCTCTCTCTCTCTTTCTCTCTCTCTCTCTTTCTCTCTTTCTTGCTGTGTCCACGTATTTGTCTGTGTATACACTGCTCTCCAGATGTCAACGTTCACCACGACCGGGCAGAAAAGGAAGCTGGGCGGAGAGTGTCATGCAAGGATGGATGACTTCCTTCCCCCAGGCGGCAAGGACCACAATACACCTGAAACGGATCGAAACAGAGGTCGGACTGTAGTTAGCGACCGAGAACATATAGGCAGGCTAACAGAGGAGGTGCATAAGCAGAAAGTACTGCTTAGAGAGATGTCAGACGAACTACGCCGCGTCAAGTCGCTTCTC